AACCTGGCTTTGGTCAGGGTCTTGTGAGGATGGAAAGTTGGGGAAAACAAAACAAATCCAACAGGGTAATGTCAGTGTCCATGGGCAGGAGACTCTGCCTGGCTGCTTCACACTGTGCTCTGTTGTGGCTGCTGCAGAGTGAGTGAGTCCTCGCTCCTACCCCATGGCAATCCCTGCCTGCCTCAGTTTCTTTCCTGTTGCATTTCACTCACCATCTGTCAGCAGCAGTTTCCTCAGCAGCCCTTCACCATCCCACCTCTTGCACTCAGCAGCCCCAGAGGGAATCCAGCACCTCATACAGCACCCAGGGAATGTGGCTGCTGCCATGGAGGGGTGCGATGTCGGTGACCACTGCTTGGATCTTCCCCCTCTGCCTTCTGGCTTTGCAGCCAAGCAGAGGCTTAAAAGCAGAAAAGAAAACAAAGCTGTCAGAAAACCTGGTATTTGTGTTGTTTCCCTGAAGGCAGAGTGCCATAGCAGGAAGCAGTCGCTTTGGAGATCAGGATAGATGCTGTTTCTCTTGGAGGGGTCTGGATTTTATTATATACTTCTTATTCTGCAGGTTTGCTAGTCTAGATATATTTACTACATGGTTTCTTGGCTAATTATTTCTAGCGTGGCACTGATTGAGCTGTTAATAAAGTGTGAAGGTGCCTTGCAGGCACTTTTTGAGTCTTAAAGAAATAATCTACATCTAAATTGCAAATAGTAAAATTTCCTTACCCACCAATATTAAGGTGATAGCATCTCCACTATTGTAAAATTAATCAAACTTCTCTTACTGACAGAAATGTTAATTTAAATTTTTCGTCACAATTACAGAGAGAGTTATTGCAGCCTCTGACTTGTAATTAATTTCTCTTTCTTTTCATCACTGTGTTACAGTCCTTTGTAATAGTGATAAATGGAGTATCTACCTGACCTTTTTTATATATATATATATATATATAATATAAATTGCTTTTAGGTTTAAATAAAAATACTTCTGTTTAATCAGTGCTTTTCCATAAACAGGAGGATAGGAGAGAATGTTTGGGGGTTGTTTCACATAAGCATAACTAAAGTTAAGATGATATGCAGCAAGGGACAAGAGGCAGGAGTAGCAGGGACCAAATACAATGCTAGACACTGTCCCCATGTTGTTTGTTGTCCCAGTGCAACCACACGTGCAGAAAATGGACAATTAGGAGAGATTTGCTGCTGCCAAGGAAGGCTTTAAAATAGGATTGGCAGAGGATAGTAGTGCATCAAACCACTGGCAGGAGCGAGAACTGGGAGAGGTTGAGGCATAATTGCCACAAGAAGAAAATTAATGGGTCAGTCAGTCAAATGTTTAAGGTATGTCAGCACAAGGAATAAAAGGGAGGAACTTTATGTCTCATTTGTAATCAATGTTATAATTTAAATGCCATAGCAGAGGCTTGATAGAAAATGGCTGTGGCTGCCTGATAGAAGAGTGTACTGCTTGTTCAGGGAGGACTTGGCCATGGGGGAGAGGCTGATGCTCAGATTGGAGTCATGGTATGTCTGCTGCAGGGATCCTGGATCCTTTTGTGGGTTGTTGGGAACAGGCAGGCTGTCAGAGAAAATTGGCTGTGGATCACCAAAGAGAGGGAGGTGAGTGAGGCTGAGCACCTGGCAGATCAGATCCGATCCCTGATTGTGCAACATAGGATTTGGAAAGAGAGACACAGCAGGACAGGATACCATGCAGCTTCAGAGCTGGCTGGGCAGGAACAGATTTGAGGAAACAGGGATACTGTGGCAGAATGGGAAAAGATGAGAAGTGATAGTGGTGACAGTTATGAAAGGAAAGCTCATGATTCAAACCAAAGGCAATGTCCTTTAGGATTGACATAAAAGGTCAGTGGAACAGCAAGAAAGACCAGTAGTGCTGGACCCCTGAGCTTGCCTAGAGCCCTGGGGAGGAAATATCTCCCCTTTGTTCTCTGAGGCAGCAGCAGACACTTGAGATTTCCAATATTCTGCATCTCTTAGGCCATTGGGACAACCTGGATGTTCCCAGCTTTTGGAGCATTTTGAGAAGGGGCTGGAGCAGTTTTCAGGGCCTATTAGCAGTTATCGTCAAGAGCATGAGGAAGTCTAGGGAGGTTCTAGAAAAGATGCAGGTAGAATGTGCCTCTGAAAGAGAGGGAAAAGAACTGGGCAAGTCTGGACTGGTCTGTTTGAATTCACTGCTGGGGCAAGTGATCCGTGGTCTGTCCATATGCACTTGGAGCATTTCAGGTGATAAAGAACAGCCAGCACAATTGTCAGGGACACATCATGTCATCTTCACCTAGTTTCCCTCTGTGATAGCATGGCAGGGCAGAAGGAGGGCTGTCAGACAGCTTGACTGGGCTGCAGCTTTTCATGACATCTTGTGTCTGTCTCCGAAGCAGTTGAAGGAAATGGAGTCTTGAAGACAGGTTGTGAGTCACTGGCAAATTGTGTGCAGGGAGAGGTTATCAGTGTTTTGCTGTCACGCTGGAGAGGGCTTTATGTGAGATACCTTATGGTGCCTATCAGAGGTCTGGAACTATTCACTTGTGACTTTGCCAGTGAATTAGGAGTCCACAGGCAGGGCCTGGAGGTGACACCAACTTGAGAAAGGTGGCATCACCTTGGAGATCAGCACTAGAATTCAGTGGAACTGTGGAAAATTGGAGAAATTATTAGAAAGCAGTTGAGTAAAAAAGAAAATTAAATGTATATATGTGTATACACACACCACACCTGGCTTTAAGTTTTCAGTAGCAGAGGCACAAGCTGATAGTGTTGGACTAAGAAGGGCAGAAGAGGATGTGAAGGCTTATCAGGGATCAGAAACTGAATGGGTGAACAGCTGCATGTTCCTGTAGAAAAAACAAAACAGCCAAACCCAAGGTGTTTTATGGGTGAGGGGCAGGTGCCTTTTGCTTGCCCACACTGGCAGGGCAGAGGTTTGAGCAGAGTGTCTTGTTTGGGGAGTGCTGTGTGGAAGATGAGGAGCTGGAGGGATTTGCAAGACAACTGTAGGAGCTTCACAGTGTGGGTGGGTATTTCCATGTGGAAAGGCTGGGGGAGATGGGACTTGTTTAATTTGAGGTAATGGGAATCAGAATGGAATGAGGTGGAAGCTTTGAAACTTTTAGAATTATTGCAGTAAGAGAGAAAGTAAATGAACTATTCCCAAATCCTGGTGTGGTTTGGAAAAGGGAGGCTGACCATTCAAATGGTTTTGTTAGAAGCTTATCCAGGGATATGGTAAACTGTTTTAGTAAAATCACTTGGGTATCATATATCACAAGTGGCTGTTCGTCCAGCAGATGATAACATTAATCCCTAATTACAGGCTATCTTATCTGAATTGCTTTATGACATTCAGAGCTCTGTGTTACAGGGGAGAATAGAATAAATTATGAGAATACTGCCTCAGGCTGTACAATCTCATAGATCAGTAAATACCAAATTCCGTGTATATCTTTGATAAGCATCCACTTTTTTTGACGCATGTTTCCTTTTGGGTTAAGTTTCCCACCTGCAAAATTTGTGTGTCTGTGTTGCGGTCTTTGGGTTTCACCCAGACAAGTCTCCTGTTGGAGGCATTTGGACACCAACCAATTTGCCAGGCAAACTACATTTTTCACTCAAATGTAGTTAATGACCCAAACAAAATGAAATGCTTGTTACAGGTTGATTTAAACAATGTGGTCTAATGACAATGTTCTCTCCTTTCTGCCCACTCTCAATTACAATTCCACTTTATTTCAACTAGGCAAAAAGGAAACGAGCTTTTTAAACAAGGCTCAGAAACGTGTCTTTTGGCTGGAGAGAAGAGGAGGGGGGACCCATTTAGCTGGAGATTTTTACTTTGAAATTTCCTGACAAAAATTAATTAGAAGAATCATGTAATTACAATAAATGTATCTCATTGGTCCCCAGTGGCTTGTTTCTAAACACTGAAGGATTATTTAGGCATTCGTGACAGCAACAAAAAGTAACAAATAAATGTAATGGGTTCTTTTTATATACAATAAAAATGACATAGAGTAGCTGCATGTTTTACTAATTTTGCTACAGGATCTTAAAGAGGTGGATATGGTTGTGCAATTTGAATTTTTGCTGTGGATGCAGAGGCTGGGATTGTACTTGTGAGGGCTGAGGTGCTGACTGGTGTTCCTGCTGGTGTTCCACCAGATATTCGGGAAGATAAATACCCCAGCACCCACAAATGTTGCTATCTCCACTTCCTGTTGCCCAAATTGCATGTTCCTTCCATGAAATGGGACATGTAAATATTCCTGCAAGGCAGAGAAAGGCTGATAAATAACTGGAGGGGCTGTTTGGAGCAGCCCGTGCCAGCCAAGGATAAAGCTCCATTGCCTGTGGTGGATGCCACAGCCCCCATTGGGAAGAGGTGGGTGCTTCTTTCACTGCCCACTATTCTGCACTGACACAACTGCTCTGTCCCTCTGCTATCTTTAAGGTGGCTCTCTGAGCATGCATTTGGGGTGCCTTTAGGTTCTGCCATGGCACAGGTTTCTGCTCCCTCAAATCCAGTTAATGCCAAGACCCCTACTGAATCCTCCAAGGGAGGAATTGCAGTTTGGAGGAAATGTTGTAAAAGCTGCTGTATATCCTTCCTCTTCCCATTAGTAGAGCAGCCAGGGCAGCATTTTGGGTGATGGAAGGCAGTGGTGTGTGTACAGCTGCCCCCCTGCCTTCCCTGGCCAGGCCCAGCTGGACTTGTCTCCACTGTGCTGAGAGCAGGGCTGGAAAATCACAGTGGTGTGAAGGCAGAGGTGTCACTGCAACTGAAGCTGAGCTCAGTGGTGGCTGTGATACAAGGTGGCTCGATTTTTGTCATGCCTGTGATGAACTCTTGTTGCTGTGTCAAAAGGTTAAACCTTTCCTGGGGCACTACTACCCCAAAGCTCAGTGAGGCAGGAGTAGTGCACATGTGGAGTCAGAGAACGACTGGGATTGATCCACCTCCTCTGCTTTTCTCTGCTTGTTATAGGGCTTGCATCTGCAGAAAGCTGAGAATTGTGATGTGATTTCATCTCATAAATGTTTCAAGTTCAGGTCTTTTCACTTATTTCTGTTTCATTGTGTCTCCAGGGTAAGTGAAGCTTGAAGGGAAAATCTCATTAATAATCATACAAATTGGATTAAATCAGTTATAAACATTTACATAGGGTGGACATGTGCCATCTTAATACACTTACCAGTCCTCCTTCCCCTTCTAAATTACGTTGCTTACAGGGTAGAGGTCTCTCTAGCGTGGATAAGTCTATCCTGTTGCACTGAACATAGCATAGTCAGATAAGTATGTAACTTAATTTTGGTTTGGATTCATCAAGTAGATGGCTGAGCTAGTTGGAAAGACTCATGATTTGGACATGGCTCTTCTTTTTTCTTGTTTTCTCTAGAAAAAGAACCTATATAGCAAAGCTGGCCTAGCTTTGGGATGTTGGTCAGGTGAGGTGAATCCCACTCCGTTTGGATCTTAAAAGGTTGTGCATAAGAGCCATTGGTGGAGACATATAAACACTAAATCTTTTTATTGCATGTACCAACCATAAAGAGAAGTGATCTTCAAATGACATCATCAACACAAAGGGCACTAGGAGAAGTTCCAATTTATGACACAATAAATCAGCAAGTAGTCTAGTAATGGACATTGAGCCTAGACAGTTTTGCAAAGTGAGTTCCCATATAAAATGGTATTGTGCATTGAAATGTGGGCTCCAAACCTGCTTAGCTAGTACCACTTAAGCTGCTTTAGTGAGACCATTTTGGATTTCCACAGTCGACCAATCTTCCCAAATTGCTCAGTGTCTAATGTAATCCCAGATGTATTTACCATACTTCATTGTATTTATAGAGGTGGCTAGGCCATGAAGACATGGCTTATTTCCAGGGACAAGAAGTCCGGGTTCTTCAGTGCATTTCTTTCCCCTAAAAGCAATGCTGTGGCGCTCTCGGAGTTTGCGGTGCACACATTTGTCTTTGCTCAGTGACGATGGTTGATCATTAGCAAAATGTATTCTGGTATTTATGGTTACAGGCGTATTGACCTTAGTGCTCCGTACAGCACTGATGGGAGCACAGCCAGCCAGCATGGGGGGAGGTGCACAGCTTTTCTGAGCAAAGAAAAGGCCTCCAAGGCATGGCAGCTGTGAAGGGCAGCATGTGAAACGAGCAAGTCCTTGGTTCAAGTATGATAAACTGGCTGCTACAGTCTCGTTCCTTTTCCTACCACTGTTTCTTGTCCTCATTTAGCACATGGGCACTGTTAAACCACATGCCTCTCTGGAGCTTTTCTTCAGAGCTGCCCTGCAGTAAAGGGATTACACTAATCGGTACCAGTGTGAGGATGTGGCCCACAGACATGTTTACTGCTGATGCTGCCAGAACTTGTGCTTCAGAGGTGTTCTTCTCCAGCACAGTAGTGTCCAACTGTATGTAGTTTTGTCACTTCACTACCAGTGTATGTACATTTGCAATCCATGTTGCTTTCTTCTCAGAAGTGCCTAAATTTAGGTTAGGTTTACAAGACAAATGTATGATGTCCTGAAGGATAATTTATATTTTGCTGTAGCTTTAGTGTGATTCCTGGCAGCAGAAGGGTCTGATCAAAGCCAGGCAAAAGGCATATTTTTCTGTTGAGCAACATGACAGTCTTGTGACATAATGAATTACACACAGCTGGTTTTTCTCTGGTTAGGAATTTTGTTTTATTATTACCGTATCTGTGCAATTTCTTAATATTCTTGAATCTCGACTCTGCTTACAGGCATATCAGATTATTCATATGCTACAGTGCAATATGATATACAGAAGAGCATAGACTGTGCTTTATTTGTGGGTAACTGCTTAGGTAATGGTGTATAAAGACTCAGGAGCTGGTACTTAGCTGCAGTGTCTCTTCTGCTTTCTCATTCATCACCCAGCTAATGTGTAGAGATTGTTTGTAAGCCTTCTCTCCTACACTGCTTCTCTTCTCCACCTCACCTTCCTAAGATAACAGCCTCTTAGACAGTTAACAGTGGTAATTAAATAAAACAGACTTCCAGGGGATGGCTGACACGCCTTGTGTTCAGCTGTATAGTGTTAACAAGGCTGGGCCTTTGGGCTTCGAGCTACGACCTCCTAGAGAATTTGTGGGACCTATTGCATTCCCATCGACTGCAGAAGAAATTGAGAAGGTGTTTAGCATAGGAAAGGGCTGGGGAGACTGCTTCTCCTGGCCTGCACTGGGAAGAAATGGAGGCTCTTGGAAGGGAAATCTCAGAGGACGGGAGCATCAGTACTTACTCCCCAAATGGGACACAGGAGTTAGGGTTATACAGGGGACAGATTTAGGATCTTCCTCTATGCCTCAAATTAAGGCCTCAGATATCAGATTTTTACCTGTGAGGCTGAGTTACTCATAAGTGCAATATTAGGCTTATGGAAAAAAATCTGAACTGAAAGTCTCCCTTACCTATGGTGAAATAGGTATGTATGACTATGTATATGCATGTATTATGAAATACCTTGTCAGAAAGTGTAAGTTAGTCTGTTTTGTAAGTGTATTAGTACTGATCACTTCTGACTCTCCATCTTCTTAATGAAGAGCATGAGGAGCAATGACTTATCTCTTTGGGTGCTTCCACTGGTCAATCACATTCCATAATTGTATTCCTAATTATGTGAAATGCCAATTCCTAATTGCCAATTTTCTAAGTGTTATTTTATTGATGCAACTGCATCTTGCTTTACCTTAAGATTTTACTACATCTTCACCAGGAGTGATGAGCAATTTCCTTTTGTGTTTTGTTAGTGTGTCTGTCCACCTCTTATAAGTGGCGTATATCTCAATATATTAAAATACAATGCAGTTTATTACCAAATCCGATGTGCCTACAGGTTTCCTTTTAGGTAATCGTGTATGCCCAGCTTGGCTGCTTATAGGTGGAGTGTTTGATTGTTCCTTCTTGCTATGAGCTCAGTCTGGGATAGATTTCTCAGGAGAGCAGCTTTGTGATTTAATAGCTGGTCTGCAGTTCCATGAATTGCATCCAGGGAATTGTTCAAGATGGATGATAACACAAATGGGTTACTTGGGCTAACTCAAGCCATTCTGTTGAGCGTACTAGGTCAATTTTCTAATTGATCAAAGTGGGTGTGTTTTGGAAAACTGCTGGCACACATGTACGTACACTCCCATGCTGCATCGTGTAGATTAAGATAATTCCAAATTCTGTTCTATTTCAGTCTGTTCACGTCATACCTATTTGAGGCCTTTGAAACTGAATGAGGCATTGGAGATGGTGCAAAACAGAGTGATCTGGGACTGGTGAGCCAGTGATCTAAATGTTCCCTTCCTACCTCTTCAGCGTTGTGAAATTTAAATACTGGGGATACTGGTGAAACAGTCCCTTGATTGAATTTGCAACCTTTGCTGCCCTCCAGCCTGGTCCATACCAAGCAATGAAAATGCATGCAGTCAGATGTCTGGATATTTACCCTAAGCCTTTCTTCTTTGGCATCCTTTTCTTCTACTTGAGTCGAAGTTGGGGAAGAGCCATGGCATGAATCCACAGTTTGCTATCAAATGAGGCTAAAGCAAAACTTCCCCTTATTGCATGATTTGGTAATTTTTTCATCCGTTTACTAAGTACATCTTGCTTGTGTAAATTCAAACATGTCCCTGAGACCTGTGGACACTGACATCTGGAGATGGAGCAGAGTCAAAACCTATGGAGGGACATTGGTTTTACGTGCTCGTCCATTTAAGTGCACAAGAATCTGGTGGGTGTTTTGTGCCTAAACCTCTGTAGGTGAAAGGCAAGGGAGGCATTTCCTGGAAAGGCATTAGCTAGAGCTTGCTCTTTGCATGTTAAGGCAGTGGTTCTGAAGTCAGTTCATCTGACAGTCCTCATCATCTGCTCTTCAGTAACTGGACATGTTACACCTGATGTTCTGCTGGTGCTCAGTAGAACAGCAGACCTGGCACACTGATCTGTTGTCATCGATTTTGTACAGATGTGCAAGGGGTGTGTGATTTCCTTGAAAAACACCAAGAGAGGTACAGACTGTTGATGTAATGAAACTTTCCTGTGGTAGACACTCAGAGATTGCCCTTCCTTTGCAGTCAGTAGACATAACTGGATTTTATTGCATGGGAAAGAAGTTGCTTTCTTTTTTTCTACCCCATAATAGGAAATCTGGAAGGGAAGGACTCCACTTGGAACTTTATTTCTAATTAATTACAACATAGGAGAAGGAGATGTAAAAAGTTGTTATTATGGCACCTCAGTTAAAAATAAATTCATTTTTGTTTGTTTTTGTTTGCGTTTTGTGGTGGTGTGTTTTTGTTTTGTTTTCGGGTTTTTGTTTGTTTATTTTTTACTATGAATAACTTGCTGAATTAATGTTGAGGTTTTTTGGTTTTAGTACTGGGATTTTTTTGTCAGGTTACATGGCGGCTTATTAATGACTGTGACATAAAGTTGCTTATGTTTGTGGCCAAAACCTGCAGTATGCTGCTCCTCTGCCCAGGTTGGGGTTGTTGTGCAGACTATTCACTTGACATCAGAGACAGGATAAGCCATAAAAAGATACCCAGTCTCTGGCTATTTTGGTGTAAAGGGATGATACCTCTCAAACTCTCTTCCTCTTTGAGAAGCAAAGTATCACAGGAAGTTGATAAAGTTGCTGGTGAAAGCTTCCTAGTCTTTTGATGTAATCACTGAGATGGGGGCGATACAAAGGAGGTGACACCAGGGGCACTTATGTTTCAAGTGAAGTCTGGGGATGGAAGAGTGTCCTGGGTTGATTTCTGTGCAACTTCAGGAGTGTTGAGTGAAGCTGGCTTACATGTTTGATATGGCATTCTACTTTATTTTACTTATTATTATTTTGCATAACTAGTTTAGTTGACAGCCTACTGGTTTTGCTCCTTTGATCTCTGCTCAGTTTGACTGTATTTTCAATAACTACTTAGTATAAAAATAAAACGCGCAGGCCACATCAAATAAACTAATTAAAGATTAGAATGAAGAAGTGTCAAAATCCGAGACCTCGCTGAGGCAGATTAGTCACTGCATATGAGACACGATCTAATAACTAATGGGTTGCTGTAGTAACAGGGGAATCGATACCCCTCAGCTGGTTGGGGAGCTGACAGTAATTTCTGCTGGGTCATAGATTCTGGAAAATGAAGTGCCTCCTACTACAGCACAAGTAATCTCTGTGGACTTTTTGACAACAGAGCATCTTACAAAGTTTATATCAAAGAAAATATTAATCTCTCAAGTTTGCTTGTTTACCTCTGCAGGGGTTATCTGATATTGTAACAGCCACAGACAATTAAGTTTAGTCTCCTATGTGGGCTCTCGATGGGTTAGCTCTGGAAACAAGCCTTTGGTTTTGGTTCCTAAATGAGGGTTTTTAGGATGTGCCAGTACCAGGATGTCCAGTCTGCTATGCCA